CTTCTTATGCCATACTTTTAGTTAAAATTTAGATCAACTTTGATCATATGGAATTATAAATAAAATAAGTGATATATTTAGAATTGTTTTTAAGACAAAAGAAATAAAAAAGGAAAACATTAAATGACATCGAAGTAAAAAAAGCGAAGCATTTAATATGAAATTTTGCACAAAATTCGGAGCACATCAGTAATTATTTAATTAAAATTAATTTATTTATTAGTTTATTGTACGAAAACAGGTTAATGTATATACAAATATAAAAATCTTGAATCTCTCGAACCGCTGGCATTTAAAATTAATTTACAACAAAAAAAATACTCAACCAGTGATTGCAATTATTGTTTTACTATTATTTTGTTATATTATATATTATATTTAATTTATTCAAAGAAACTTACTTTTCTTGAAATTATTGTAGTTAGTAGTTATATATTTAAAAGAAATTTGTATATTATATATACAGCATACATACACACGGCTATATTTAAAAAATAAAATTAACTAGTTTATAGGTTATCAGCACACATACACACACATATATACACATACACATAAACAAAACTCGATACGACATACTCCTACCACTGTTTTTCCGTAAGAAGAAGATACAAAGCATAGGTTAATTAAACAATACTTTTTTTAAACATTAAAATATGTGTATACATTGTAGTTTAAGTTTAGAAAAAAACACAAAATCAACAAAATCATTTAACGCTAGTTGTTTTTTTTTTTATATGGAAAAATAAATATATTATATATAAATAGTTATATGTATACAAAAATATATCAAACTTATCGGAACAAAGCGAAGCATAAATATTTACCCATATATTATCTGTGTATATTACTTACACTTCCAGCATTGCATGGCTACAATATCTGGAAAATTATTGTACAATAGGATGCCGTAAATAATATTTAATTTAAACACAATGAAATTCATAAATAAATGTAATTAAGAATTGTGAAAAAACATAAAATATCTAAATTTTTTATTTGGATTTGAAGGTAAAATGTTTAGATGCTAGAGAAGTATGAATATGATTTAGGATTTTTGTTTTTTTAAACGTGAATTGACCTTTTTGATAGCTGTTACTTGAGTTATACCAAGTTTTAACCCGGCCATAATGTTACACTCAATGGGGAACGCTTTAAATCCATGATTAATGACTTTTTCGTGCCTGAATTGATGGCTGTTGATGTGAATGTACATGCCATACAGCCAACGAAACAATCAATTTATTGAAGGAATCGAATCTAAAATATGAAAAGATGTTACATTGACTATATAAATCTAGCACAATCGACGGCTCCGCCACAATAAGACCATTTCATTTCATCTTTATTTGGACCTTAGATACTTCGATGTTTAAATTTCTTCTCCAGGTTAGAACAGGTCGGCCATTCTGTTGGCTACCTTGAGGACTTCAGTCGAAAGTTCTAGTTGATTGTGTCTGGATCTCACCTCAGAATATGCCCGAGCCAGCCCCACTTTCTTTTCAGAGTTTCGACTCACAGGCTGTTGGGGCCATACGTGACCATAAGAGACAGTGACGGACTAGAAAAATGCGTAAAATATTGCGATGGCACCGGTTTGAGAAAACTTGCATCTTTTGTTTGCCAGAGGCTACGAGATTCCATGTTTTGCAGCCATAAGTTCGTACTTAATATTGGTGTTGAATATTTTTATTTTGGTACACCGCGTAACGATCGAGGAGCTCCGCATTTTGGACGCCGAAAGCTTGATTGGACTTCATTTTACTTATGTCAGCCTTGAATCCTCCATTTGCAGATATAGTAATGCCTAAGTAACAGAAGGTTTTCACATTTTCGAGTTCTATACTGTCCAGTTGAAAGTTCTGCGTATTGATACGCATTTTTTTGGTTTTTTCGACGTTAATTCTGAGACCATAACTAGTTTTTTTTACCATGTCAGCAAAGGTGTGTTACATTAAACATATATTGTCTGAATGAAGTCTAGTTCTTCGAGCCATCAATTTATATGTACTCCAGCTTATTCATTGTTAAAGAAAAAGCGGTGACAGAATGCCGCCCTGACGACCGCCTTCTTCTACTTTTAGTCGATTACTGAGCTCTTTTTTGTATCAGGGCATAGCACCCTTATATATTCAATTAGTTTTGAAGGGACCATTCTACAAACTATAGTGTTCCAAAGTGTTGTGTGAGATAGAGAGAGGAGTGTCCTTTGTCCCAGAAGTCTGTGATTATTGGACCGATGAGGCGAACCGTGGTTTCATTGTCCACCTTTAGAAGTTCTGGTGTAATGTTGTATATTATATCATATAGGCGTCCAATCTATCGCATTTTATTTTCTCTTTAAAGGAGTTTATGGTTCAAATATAACGTGACAGCACTCCCAAAGCAACTTTTTCAAATATTCCGTATATTCGGCCAGTGTAGAAGCCCTTGAAAATGGTAAAAATTAAAAAAAAGCATGTAGGTTGAAACCCATTGGAAAAGAAATATAAAATATGAGAAATGAAAGGAAAAATAATTTACGGACGATCTGATGACGGGAAGAGGAAAGAGCAAAACGATTAATTTCGTTTAACCGCAAAACCACGAGTGCTATAGAAAAACGTAATGAAACCTTTTTCACACAACCTCGAAATTTATTTTAAAAAAATTAAATAACCCAGGCTTATATTTTTTATTGTTGTGTTTAAACAAATAAAATCCTTTCATGAAATTTGATGCAAACTCGTCATCTTATGACCCAAACACACTATATTTTTTATTTGTTTTGAAAAACTAATTTATCCACGTCATTTTGACTTAATATCGAGAAAATCCAAATTCACGTCAAAGTACCTGCTATTTTTAAAGGTCGGTAGGTTTTTTATTCATTTAAATCTCTACTTTCTTATATTATATTATTATTCTTATAAAAAATATATAAACTTCTTTGGTAAGTAAGGAAAATACAGCAAAGACCACTTTGTCGTATACATTTTTTGTATAGGTTTCATAGTTCTGCCGAAAATCGTTTTTGACCCTTAAAAATTCAACCATACCCCTTTTCCTCTTCTCGACCACAGATCGCACGTAAATTATTTATTTGTTTCATTTTTAATATATTATATTATATTTTTATTCCGATGTATACCCTGGTCTATACATGTGGGTACATTCGTTTTTTTTACGCATATACATTTTGCATTTGTTACTACAGAAACTTGTTTGCATTTCATGACAAAATTATGGTGCGAGTTTAGATATGGCAGCACTGCAAAGCCATTTCGTACTTACGGTACTTACGACTAGGCATACATCGCGCTTAGAAAATGATAACGCAACTTTTATCTTGTTTTTTCTGACATATCATAACTGTATTTCTTCAATAGTCATAATAATTTCATTTATATATATGTTTTGTTTTTTTTTGTTTTCTTTTGAATTTATTTTTGTTTATTATGATCATATATATATTTACTACAATAAAACATGCAATGATAATAAGTTAAGCGTATGTTTATATGTATGTATTATGTAAATGTAAATGTAAACGTGTATGTGTGTGTGTTTGTAATTTAATTTTTATATATTTGAATTAATTGCCTAGTAAATACTGCATTTTCGAGTATGAGATTTTCATTTCTGCTATCGATTACATATATAAGTGGGTATTTTCAGCAAATTTCTGTATGTTAGAGCTTCAAGGCAGCCAATTGCGTTTAAGCAAAATGAATTCTCCATTGAAATGTAAATTTTTTTGTTGACTATTTCTATTTGTTTGCATACATTTTTCAGCTGCTAATGATTTTATTTTTTTTGCTTTGCAGACTGAAAGTATGCTATTTTAGTTACTAACACATGGCAACAATGAAAGAATACCTTTGAACCATTTCAATACTTCATTTTTGTTAAAAACATATATAATTACAATGCTTGTTTATTGAACGCTGCGAGTTATGTTGCTTAGCTGTTCGACTCAGTAATTTTATTTTATTTGTATTTATTTAGTTTTTAGTAAAAAAGTGTCATTTGCGGCTAATACTTTTAGTTACATAGTGACTGCTCATTCAGCTATGCAGTTTGTGTGGGTAGATCAGTGTGTTGATGTGTGTTTGTTTGGTTGTGTAAGTCTAAGTATTTATTTGGTGTAGTGTTGTTGTTTGTGTATGCTTGTCTTTAACAATATAAACAAATTACAACTAAATTATTTAAATCTTTTTTTCAATGATATTACTTTTATTATATTTTATTTTTATTTTTTTATTTTTTTTTTTTGTAAAAAGTGTAGCTTCTTTTGTGTTATTGTTGTACAAGTTCAGAATTTTCTTATAGTTGTATTTTTATTTTGCTTTTGTAGATAGCCTTTTAACAGCGTAACTGTAATTTTTATGGTAATAATATTTTAGTAATTGTTGTATTTGTTGTAATTTATAAACGCCTTTACATAGTCAGGTTGTTTTTCGCGAATTTTAGCTGAAATTACAATTTATATTTTATTTAATATTTTACTGAATTTCACCAAAATTTGCTGCACCTACACACACATGCGCATAATTTCAACATTTTTATACATGTTAGTATATTTGTTTGTGTGTGTGTGTGTGTGTGCTATTAAGTGTAATTACATTACTGTTAAATACATTCTAGTCATATAATATTCATGGAAACATACACAAATAACGATCTTCTGCGGCGGCACCACTACGAGTACATATGTATTTCAACATTTCAAATTAATTCGCATATAAGTTGCACATTATATCCAATACAATTTGTTAGTTAATTTCATAATTTTTTTTTTTTAATTTTTTTAATTTCATTAATATTATTAATGTCATTAATTTTTTTAATTATTATTATTTTAAATTTAATTTTTTTTAAATTAATTTTTCCTTTACTTTTTATTTTTATTTATAAATTATTAGCCATTACCTTCGTAATGTTTCGTTTGTAGGCTTGTAAATATTGTATATCTGGTAACCTTCTTGGTTTTCATTATTGTTGCGCCTTTTTTCACAATATTTTTTGCACAAATTATTAGATTTTCAACAGCATAAACGGCTTTTTCATAATAATTTCTTACTTTTTGCCTCAGCACATTTACATGCAACACGCTTTAATTACATCTATTCTTCTGCGTCTTCTTCAAAAACACTAAAAACTGAGACAACAAAAATCTGATAACATAAGTCAACAGCATTACTCCTTTAATGTATGTTAATGCATCACTTAGTTAATATAGTTTTACATTTATTTATTTATTTAAGTATATTTGTGTCTACATGTGTCTATTTATGTATATATATGTCTATGTATGTGTTTAAGTATGTATGTGTATATGTGTATGTTTGTGTTTAACAATTACAATTCGCATTGGGCGTGCCTTGAGGTTGATCTGTCAGTCGTTGTCCCTTTTGCCCAGCGCCCACTAACGTCGGATCCGAGTCTAAACTCTCTGACATTTTGTCGCAAATTATATCCACCAGTCGTTCGAAGACAGCCTGTAATAAATATTTGCCAAATTTAAATAATTCAATTTCTTGCTTTAATTATAATTTACTTACCTTCACATTCACATTCTCTTTGGCTGAAGTTTCGAAGAACTCCACACCCAGCTGATCGGCCAACTGTCGGCCTCTCTCGAATGAGATCACTCGTTGATCTTCCATGTCGCATTTGTTGCCGACAAGTATCACTTGTGCGTTATCCCATGAATATGTCTTAATTTGAGTCACCCTATTAGCGAAAAAAGTGGAGGAGAGAGAGAGAGAGAGAGAGAGAGTGAAAAATTATAATTACTTCAAAAAAATAAATAAATCACTGTACTCTATTAAATAAAAAATTAATAAAAAAAAATTTGTTCCACATATTGCTCTATTAATAGATTGTGACCTGCTACCTGAAGAAACTAAGGAGTCTCTCGCACAATTTCTTCAAAAGTTTACGAAAATGTTTTTTGACAATCAGGGTAACTATGTTTTAGATGGAGCTTTATAGTAGTCGCCATAGTACAGTTATAACTTCCGCTGTAATAATCAGGCCAAGATTCTCTACTAAAGGTAGGCATATTGGTGTAGGTCTCAATTAGCTTTGATCATAATTACCTTACCGTAATTCACTGAAGCTACTAACAAAAAGATTTTGGTCTTGAAGCAAAGAATTCGTTGTACAAAATATTTCTAAACTTCAGATATCAGAACTTAAAATCACAGATCACTAAAAAGTTTCCCACTTCAACACCTACATTTTAGTATGTAGGTGAGTTATAATCTTAAATTTTTTTTATATACGAGTAAGGTTTAGTTACTTTCAGAACAATTTATGTCATTTTCCCAAAACGACATTTTAAATTTCCAATTTTTCTACTTAAACAGCCATCTTCTCTATTGTTTCACCCTGCACTTCAATTACTTACCAATCTTGTACGGAATTGAAACTCTCCTCATTTGTGACATCGTACATCAGAATGAAACCCATGGCGCCACGATAATATGCCGTGGTTATTGTTCTGTAGCGTTCTTGGCCCGCTGTATCCTGTTAAAGAGAGAGAGCAAGTAAAAGTAGGAGAAAATTAGTACCGTTGAGCGTCTAACAATAAATTTAATTGCATCTCAATAAATTTCTGTGCATTAACACTTTTATTGGCGGCAAGTTGCAGTTTTTATAGTCACCAGCGGAGGGTAAAAAAATTTCTATAGAGTTGTGTGGGTAAATTTCACTCAATATTTATGTGGGTAATGGAACGCTAATGATTTTCAATTAATTGGTGACAGCATAGTTGGGGTAGAGACGAATTTTGAGATTAGATTAGATGAAGTTTTGACGGAACTGATAGGAATTAGTTTAACGGATCAAAAATTCACTGCAGACGAAAGGAGGAATAAGTTGGGACAGGTTTGAGTATCTCCCGTTAAAGGAATTATAATTATGTTTTTTTTTTAATATTTCGAGATTTCTATCATAATTCATAATTATCAGAATAATCGTTTATTGATTCTATATAGTATAGGTAAAATTATGGTCCGATTTTCTTCAATTTCAAATTCAGGCAAGTTTACTAAGAGCGTAAGTTAGTATTTAGCATTTGTAGGAGCTTGTTTAGCTTGTATTAGTAGTAACAAAGGCCGATGAATATGAGGAATTATAAAAGATTTCCCCAAGGGTTAACAAAGAAGATGCACTGTAAGTCATACGATTTTGGTTTGAATTTACATCAATAGGAGCGTATTTGGTCAGAGTACTGAGATAACTCTTACGATTTTCCGCGGTATAACACTAAACTTGGGCACTCTATGGATCTCGGACTTAATCGGTGAGAACAAACTACTATACAAAAAAGCTGCATTACAAACTGACCGATCCACATGAAGTTCTGGCATGGAAAACTTTTTTATTTAATCCGATTCTAATGTTCATATCGGACCACTATAGCATATACAAATTCATCAATCCTTTTATGCTCTACGAAATGCACCTGAGAAGCGTATTACAGTTTTGGTTGTTATTGTTGTTATTATTATATAACCATAAAAAACTGTGCATTGATAAAGATGAAAAAACTGCGAATGCACACTAGCTCAGATACTAGATAACGGTCATATATAATAATCATCCGTGCATTTTATTGCCAATAATAGAGTTAAGAGATAATAGACATGTAGCAACAAAACAGTTACAAACACCTATGCACTTCTAATATCTTCAAATTGAAAGGCATTTAGGATATATTATATTATACAAAAGAAAGATAACAAAAGTGGTTATTTATAAAAAGATTGGTTGTATGTGTGAGTTATGTTACCACCCACCTGTTGTTATATGATTAAAAGTATGTATGTGTGTACAAAGCCAAGCACAACTACAATCACAAGTGAAAATTACACACAGTTAATATTCTGCATTAACTATGAGTGTGGGTATTTATTTTCATTTTCCATTTTCTTTTCTTTCCACTTGAACGTATGTAAATGCTGCGGTGGCGCGGAGTGTACAGTAACTGATAAGTAAAAGTCAATAGGACAAGGTTAACTGAGTGCGACCGCAACCACGGAGGCTATAAGCACATCCTTACAAAGCTCTAAGTACATACTCATTTCTGTATGCAAATTTTAGCGGCTCATAGAGAGTTGCTAACCAAAGTGAATAAATATCCTTGCGGGAATATAATGTAATCAACATTAAAAGACAGTGTCACTACTGCTTACCTGCCACTACTTGGCCGTAATTTTTAGAGAGTTGTATATGAATCGAACGCTCCATTATTTGCTAAAACGGCTCACATAAACTGATTTACTACAATTTCGTGTTCATTAATCAATGGCTGAAAGTTTTTTCTCTTCGTACTAGTTCGAACTATGTAAAGTGTATACAGAAGGTTTCAGTTGACACTTTCTGGTGTATTGCAATGTTAAACTCGCTAACGACTCTTGTGGAAAAGAGAAAGAATGCTAACTAGTATTAGCAAAAGAAATGGTTTCGTGCCAGTGCATTTCTCTGCAGGGTAATTGAAGCTTATAATATAAATATTTAAAGAGTTATTAAGGCAGTTATTGCATGAGAACCTTGCCAGATGCCTTTGATATGAAATTTTAATCCAAACGATTGCAAAATTAAAATAGAAAATGGTGTAGCATACATATATCATCGCTATAGCATATAGCTGCCATACAAAATGGACGAAATTTTCTTTTTTTGTCTAGATATCTTCACGAAATTTGGCATGTATTATTGTCTAAGACAACGGTACAAAATCTAAATAAATTGTTCAGATCAAGTGACTATAGCATATAGCTGCCATACAATTTTGTCATGAAGGGTATCAGCCGAAGTTAACGTTTTTTGTTTTTTGTTTATGAAATTGCTTTGTACTGTATACTTTTTAAATATTTCTTCCCTTTCTTAAATTTTTAAAATAGGTAGTCAACCAAATTTTTCATTGGAGCACTGTCTCTCACTAGGCATCTTTTCTTAATTGCATTGATTTCTTTCAGCAAAGTTCCTTTAAAAAACGTATTTTTTAATGACATCAAATATTATCAGCATAACCCCCCCTAGTGAAACTACTCTGGTGTCTATATTAAGTCGCTGCGTAACTGGTCACGGTCATAAATGATATGCCATTAAATGGAAATAGTTGATTACAAAGAGGTCCGTGGCTAAGCAACTTGATGCATATTTATATTTTTTCTGTACCCCTGTCTTTATCTATACAGCTGCGTGTAGAATATAAAACTTATTCATGCATAATGGTTAGTTCTTTGTGATATTTTCTCGCTGCCAGTGTCCATTAATAAAAATGTTCACAACACAAACAAAAACAAAATTTTCAATTAATAAAAAATGTAGCTTTGTAGAGACTCATTTTTCATTCGCTACAGAGAAAGGGAGAGTTTTTAAATTATTTACGCTCGTATTTTCACAATTAATCACGTGCATGCCCCGTCTACACTTCGTTTCTTACCCTTTCCTACTTGCAATTTAAGAAACATTTCTCATTCTTTGCTTCTACTTCTTTTTATGCACCTTCTTCTTATATGACTTCTACTTTTGCCACACTTATTCTACTTCTTCTCCCGTCTTTCCTTTGCCTTCTTTGCTTTGCTACTCACCCAGATCTGCAGCTTAACGCGTTTGTCATGTCGAAACACGGTTTTCACTTTGAAATCGATGCCGACCGTCGATACAAAAGCTGAGGTGAAACTGTCATCGGCATAACGAAAAAGGAAACTTGTCTTGCCCACACTTGAGTTGCCGATTATAAGCAATTTGAACATATAGTCGAAATTTTGATCGGCTGCATCCTTCTGCCACTTGGGGTCCCCACCACCAGCCATCTGCAAGTAGGATGTTCGAAAAATTAATATTTTTTTGCCAAAAGAAATTAATTATTAATTAGAAATAATAAGGGGAAAAGTATAATAAAGAAAACATATAATTATTTAGCATGCCCTAAAAAAGTAGAATAGAATAGAAAGATTATGGATTTTGTTACAGTAGCTTTCGCTCTAAATGAACTTTCTCACTTGCTCTGAGGCACACTCTAGTACAAACACAATTACTCCTCATTTGTTTTAATATTTTAGTGGCTTACATACCCATCTACATATATGTATATGTGTCAAGGATAAACGTCGTATAAATGTCGTATCACCCACACACACACAGACACTTACACCAATATTCGTTCATTAAACATTCCTGTACGCATTTCTAAGTTGCCACAAGTATGCCTGCTCTTAAGCGTTTACTTACCTACTTCCTTATGTATTAGTTAAGTATATAAGTAAATTGCATTTCTCATACCCTCAACCGCTCGAATATAGCAAAGTGTAGGCTTACGCTTGATTATCTGTGGCCTCTATGTGTAAACCTGTTGCTTGCTTTCCGTCTTGCAAATGCATACTAAGGCATTGAATACATATATATAGATATGTATGTGTATAGGTAAATACTTAAATTTATACCAGTTGCTGGGGAACTGCGTCTCATTATTAACTAGAAATTGTATAGCGGACTGAAAATTGCTGCAAATGAGACGTAAAGTGCATGAAGTGAATTAGAAACTCTACCTCCTTCTTCGCGGATTCGTGGACTATTTATCCATTGACGTCTGGTCTAAAGTCTTTTGCACTATTTAACTCCAACATTCAATACCACACACAAGAAATTGATCAGATATTACTCTTAATTACTAGCAATCTAACAATTCTAAAATTTTAAAAATTTCCAGTTTAAAAATCATGCTTGCTCGACAATTCTCGGCGTTACATGTTAATTAAGATTAAAATATTTGGGTTCGAAAATCTTTCAAATCAAGCTGAATGTCTTAAAAACCCATACAACGTTAAATTTGGCTGCACCGAAACTATTATACCCTTCACAGCTACATTTCGTATAGCATAAGATGGTATAAAAAGATTTGTAACTTGTTTTTGATCGTTTAGTTTGTATGGCAGCTATATGCTATTATGATCCGATCTGAATAATTTGCTTGACTTTTCCATACAAGAACATCATTTTGATAGTTCAGTTTGTATGGCAATTATATGCTATAGTAATCTAATATCATCGATTACAACAAATGACTAGCTTCTTAGAAAGTAAAAAACGTGTACAAAATTTGAGATCGTTATCTCAAAAACTGAAGGATTAAGACGCCTTCTCAGCCTGTCACGCTGATAATTTATACATATACTTTTCCGTTTTCCTTTTTCCGTTTTTTACGTTATAGGAACACTTCCTTCTGGATGCTACAATCTTCGTAACAAACTTAACTTATACCCTGTTAAAGATATAAATATACAATTATATTCAGTTTTCCCAAAAGGAGCTCCACTTGTTTTTTTGACGTTAATTTTTTAGCCTTATAAAAAATTTGATAGCACTAATGTGGACTAGTATCAACCAAAAAAATACCAGCTTTATGATAATCTTAACCTAAGCTATGCTACCACACACTTTACTTTTATATTATCTCACACACACTACGATCTCAAAATATTTTTATCTACATATTTCCTGTTTATATATTTTCAAGTATGCCTTGCAAGTGGATTAAGTAGTCTCGTGCGCTCAATTCACCGCATACTTTGGCTTAAGCATATATGTTTACAGTTACACTGGTTAACGGTTGGTAAAGCAGATATACTACACTTAAAATTTCCTGTTTTCTGGCTTCAAGTGTGGCATTGCGCACAAGTTTAGTTAACCGCAGCTAAAGAGGTTAGACGGTAACGAAAGAAAGTAAACTTTTAAAAGTGAAAGGCAAAACTTGGGAGGGTATTAAAAATTCACTTAGAACTTATATTAGAAAAATGTTTAAAGCAGAACATAATTTAGAAGTGATTATATTATATTCTGATGTTAACAATTTCAGTGCTCAGTTGGTGAAACCTAATGCAATAGACTAAAGACTCCTTTATTATAATGTTAAAATAATTTCCAGCCGAACTTAAAACTTCAATTCTTATGGAAATTTAACACCGAGTAGCTTTACTCTAAAACACTTGCACTATGTATAATATATGCGTCAATTGGTTATTATCTGGAGTTATACTTGTAGATGTTATTAGCTTTCAGTAATATACCTCACTAATTGCCTAAGAAATAAACTTTTAAGCCCACAGGGCGATAGAAACTTATTATATTTTGGAATATGAGGACTAGGTGAAGATAAGAACGAGCTTCACTCAATACATAAATAAATAAAAGTAGTTCCCAAATCTTAGGTATTCCAATATCATGAGTTTGAAGGGAATCACTGCCGCAAAATTTATGCATAACGGATAATAACCTCTGCGAGTAGATAAGCTTCTCTGCTTCGATTCATTTCAATTCAATTAAATTCACTTCCATTTGCTCGTAAAAATATTTGGTATGAGTTTTTACGCCAACACTTTCAGCAGATGATCTCACGCAAGAAATAAATTCATTTCCCCACAGTCAACTACGCTGAAACCTAATGCAAAGTTAAGCACACACACACACGCAGGCTAACAAAACAGGCACAACACTTAAACGATTTACGAGACCAGCTGCGAATGCTTACATTTTGTTTTACCGAATTTCGTAAGTAAGAGAGTGTGTTTGTGTGCTTGTGCAGCGCAGTGAGTCAAGAAATGCATTAGTCCATTGTTATGCGTACACAATGAAAATTTGTTGCTCATACGCCCCCGTGCCGCCGAAGAACATCGAAGAACATTGCAAATGCGCATCAAGGCGCAGCCGAGAAAATAAAGCCAATCGGAGGAATGTTGAGCAAACACGAAGAACAAATAGTCAACGTTGTGCAGCAATGTACCGTTTTGTTTATTTTTTCTTGTTCATTTCCCGGAAAAGCAAGCAATCGCTTGGTGTGTACGGTATATACCACGCGTATTAATGTAGAAATGTGTACTACATGGCTTTGCGTGGGTAACTCTTTTCTTTCACTACTCGATTTTTTATTTTTTTAATCTCTACTCCTACGAAGTTCGAAACGAAGTGAAGCGTGTAGGTAGCGCTTGACAAATTGCTGGCGGCAGAAAACTTTATTTCTTTTTTTTCTCTTGTATCAAAGTCCATTTCATAACTTGTGGTTGTGGTAGCACGAAAAGTGTAATGAACGAAGGTCACAACGTCGACAAATCGCGTCATTCACACCGCCCTTGATTTGCTTACCAACAAGGCATACAATGTTGCTCATACGCCATGACCAACACCATTCGCATCACATGCTTGGCCTCCGCTTCCAAAGCAACAGCTCAAGGATGTTATTAAATGTGAGTGTGTGTACATGTGACTTCATGTATATATATTGTAGCGTTATGCTTAACTGTGCGCCCGGCTGTCTGCGTACTTCTGAGATATTCTCGCTTTTGTTTATGCCAGAATTGCCACCACCTTGAGGACATCTTCCGCGCACTTAATACGCCAGAAATGTCTAAGCGTTTTTCGTATCGTAGGCGGGTGGCTCTAACTATGGGTCACTGCCATTGTACGCGACCTTTGCCAGCGCATCATCGAGATTAATTGTGCGCTTTTCAGGCACTAAAATTTCAACTTGATGCTTATATCATTTTTACCAGGCCCTTCTTTGCTTGTCGCTGTTCTGCAAGATTGAGTTTTTACACAAATTACTTTACTGCTGGTGTCCTGAAGAGTCCTTGAAAGTGTCTGCTTACTTTTCATGCTTCACTTTCGTCCCCTTTTTAGCTCGATATCACCACATTTTCTTCACTCATCATTACTCTAAGTTTATCTTTTCACAACTTTTTTGCTCTCCAGCAGCTGATGTCATTCCAAGTCGCTTGATAATTTTTTCTCTCTTGTTTTCTTTTTCTAAAAACACACATTCATGCTAACGTTACTGACCACAGAAATGCGGCTATTTGGACCACCGCTCGTTGCTATCCCACTGAAATGTATCGAATTACCTGCTTCTGCTTTTTGCTTCCTGCGCAGTTTACATTAAATTGGTTTCTCTATATGTTCATACATAAGGGGTGCTCAGTTCAGTGCCTCCAGCATGAAGCATGTACGTATTATGAAAATAATATTCCAAATCTTTCAAGACGATGGCTACATGACTAACCGCACTATTCGCGTATATATACAAAGATACGAACACAGCTTGTCACGCTGATCATTTATTATAGTTACTTTATAGGGAATCCGCTGTTTCCTTCTGGGTGTTACAAACTTCGTGGCGAACTTAATATACCCTATTCAGGCTATCAATATGACTGTTGTATATCAGCGAATCCATGTCCCAAAAAGAAAACGATTATATTACTTTTCAACCATCAGTTTTATGCTTCTCAATAAATGAACTTTTGAAAAATGTAAGCACACCTTAATATAAAATACGCTTACACTTTTTTCCAGAAGACTGAAGGGCTTTCCTGTTATCAGCATTACGAAAAATATTTAGAAGCAAAATAAAAACAACAACAAGTTAGGTAGTTTTGCATGGCAGTTATGTTTTTTTTTCTCAGAAACTACAGTTTAGCTACCAGCATTTTTCTTGATATCCACAACACTAACGAGAATTTAAGAGGAAATTACATAAGCAAAGAAAAATAACTCTATCAACTCAAGGGAGCAAAAATCAAATGCAGGATAAGTAAATACTGACAGCTAAAAATACTTGGAAAAATGGAATTGAGGAAAATTCTGAACAGCAGTAAAGAAATTGCGCAATGTTTGATGTTAGTAACTTAACAGTTATACCAAATATTGCATTTAATTATTTTATTATAAGTATATTTGATTTTTAAATTTTTGACATGATGAAATATGTAGGAGTTTATATGCTATATTGAGAGTTGAAGACATGCTAGGAGAGACTCTTCAA